CCTAGTGCAGATAGATCAATCCATGGATTCCCTAGTGCAGATGGATTAATCCATGGATTCCCTAGTGCAGATAGATCAACCCGTGGATTCCCTAGTGCAGATGGATCAATCCTTGGATTCCCTTGTGCAGATAGATCAGTCCATGGATGATCAGAACATCCCTCTCCTCACATGGCTGTAACTGGCTCCTGGATTCTTTGGAGCCGTGTGAGCTCATCCCTTGGCTCTTCAGTTTAGTGTGAAAAGGGATGGAGAAGTCAGGGCAGTTTTGTCCTTGTTAGTATTTATGAGAACAAGAGCTTTTTCTTCTCTTTTATTTCCATTCTTCTGTTGGTTCCTTGCTGTGTTCACTAAACCCAGCCCAACTCCTGCTAGAAAAGCCCTTACACTGATCCACACCTGGCACAGCTGATGGTGCCCTGGGGGACACAGGTACAGCAGAAATGTGAAGTCTGAGTAGCTTTCTGTGAAGAGGGAAGAGTTTTCTCTTCAGAACTGGCTCTGGGAAGCAGAACAACTTGTGCAATTTGGCCAGTGAACGTGCTGGGAAATTATGCAGCTCGTCTTGATGAACGTTCCTAATGTTTTGTAGGCACACAGGGAGTCCTTCAGAGTCCTTTTTAAGGTGTTTTTTGAAGCTGTCTCACATCTCTTGTCTTTTGTGTGCTTGTATTTCATTCTAAACTGTTTGAGTCCGATTTAATTTCTCACTCCTGTTGCTCCTTATCCAGAGCTTTGAGTGAGTGACTCACTGCCAGCCCCTTGTGCTGTGCCTTGAGGAGGCAGCACAGTGTTGGTGTTTTATGGGCAGAGGCCTCTGCTCACAAAATCTTTTATGGGCAGAGGTTTCAGTTTCTTCCTTGTGTGAGGGTGTTTTCACAGGGCTGTTCTGTGCATGTTCAAACCTGCAGGTGCATTTTGCCTGGGTGCTCCATAACCCACACTTCCCAAACGTTTCTGTGTGGATCTGGTGCCCTGAAATGCACAACTTCTGCACTTGAAGAGTCAAATCAGTTTGAAACCCAGTTAAAATTTATCTGTGCTTGTGCAAAATTGTGCTGTCTTGGACTAAGTGCTTGTACTCTCCTGTTCCCTTATTTAATTTAATAAGCCATTCTAATATGAAATTCTCTTTAAATTATGATTGAATGCACACAAGGAAGTGTGATAATTTTTCCCTTAACAGGACCAATCTCCCTTTTCTGTGCAGTTTCAGTTTGTGAATTAAACCTCAGAATTTAATGGCAGAAATAAATCTCCCCAATTTCAAGATCAGTTCTCACAGAATCCAAACTCTGAACCCTGGATATTTTAATCTCCCCTGCATCTGTGACAGCAATTCTTTTTATCCTCCTGGACTAAGGAAACTGTAACTTTTACATAATATTCCATGCTGCAGAAGGAATATATGGAGACCTGCATTGTTCTTCCCTGGGGTCTGGGAGCTCTTGACACGTGTAGTTTGCAGGATCCTGTTCAATGAATGACACCTGTGCTTGACAATTCTGATTTGTTTGAGAGACATTTTGTGCCTCTGAAGTAAATCTTAGAATCTGAAGAAAAGAAAGAATCTTTATTTGGAAATTTCTGTGTGAGAGAGAGAGCTGTAACATGATTTAATTGATCAAAAATAGCAGGAAACTGAATTCTGGGGTCAGTGAGTGAACAAAGATGCTGCCACAGCTTCTGTTCAGGGCCCTGTTTGGGCCTTAAATGTCACTGTCTGCAAAAAAAAAACCCCAAATTGCCTTTGATGACAGAGTTACACCACTCTGACTATAATATACAGCAATGCTCCATAAAGTGACACATATCAAATGGGATTAATGCAGTTGCTTTGGAGCTGAAATTGTGGATGTGTGAGTGTGTGCCAGACAAATTAATTACAGAGACCCTTAGGAAAGATGCTTTACATCCCTCTGTTAATTTGGCAGCGAATGTTTTTTACATCCCTCTCTCAAAATCTCTTGAAGGAGAAGACACTAAAATGAAGCCAGAGTTTATTTTTAATAAATAAAAAATATCCAGGGTCTGGATACACCTGGACAGGAGGCAGAAGGTCCTGAGAGCTGAGAAGGTTTCTTGAGGGCTCATTCATTCCCTCCTGTGTCTTGTGGTGCAGGAGAGGATTTGAATTTGGTATCTGAGCTGCAAACTCCCCTTTTTTTATTAAGCTGGCAGTGTCCTACTTGTGGTGACCCAAAGGCAGGGATGAAATGTGGGGGAGTATCCAGGTGTGGAATCTGTTGTTGGGCAAGCGAGGGAAAACCGTAGGTGGGCTTTGGGACAGCCCTGGATTAGAGGCAGCAGATTCCCAAGTTAAACACACACTTATAATAATTGCTTTGACCTTAATTAGGTGTCTTATCAATGGGATTATCCTGAAGAAATGGTGTTAGGGAGCGTGGGTGTTAAGCAGCAGTGGAGAAGGTGAGAAAGGAAGGAGGCAGATAATTCCCTACCTGTGAAATGTGGGCAGCCTGAGCCCTCAGAAAGAAATACATAATTACTGGTTAAGGAAGAGATGAATTGCTGTCTTGCTGTTATGGGTGTCAGGAATCCAAGCCCTTTCCCAGACCTTTGGGTGCTGAAAGGCTTTTCTGCTGACCTGTGAGGAGTGCTAAACATGCTAATCTGCTATAATAAACACTTGAAAAATATTCTCTGTGCACCATAATGCAAGACATTGATGCCAAATGGGTCAAGAAAAATTCTATTCTTGATCTGTTTAAAAAATACTCCAGAGCTCTTGCTGATTTCTAGGTGTCTGAAGAACAGAACAGTGTAATACAAGAGCAAAAAATGGTTTTTCTGTTCATAATTAGTCTCCTCTGGAGCAAGCACGAAAGGTTTTGAAAATGTTTAGAACCCACAAAACCGAATTTGGGTTGTTTTCTGTTAAAAGATTCAGAGCAATAGTGCAAATTTTCACTGATACCTGGTTTTCTTTTTTTTTTTTTTTTCAGTCCCCACTTACAGAATGCAGCCTGTGACCCCCCTGGGGATCCTGTCACTTGTCCTGAACATCATGTGTGGAGCTCTGAACCTCATCCGGGGAGTTCACCTGGCAGAATATTCATTTCAGGTACCTCTGATGGCACTGAATCCTGGGAATGAGCCAAAGGGAGACAATTCCTTGGGTAACCATGTTGAGGGTGGCTGTTCTGCTCCTTAGCAGAGCACAAACCTTTCCACAAGAAGTGTTTTGTTTCTCCAGGGAATGTACAACAGGTTACTCACCTGCTGGACCTGCTGTATTTTGTTGCATATCACATTTTGCCTTTTATTCTGGTTAAAATTTGTAGAAATATTTTACTCTTGCCAACCTGGCTGGATATTTTTTTTCCCCCTCTCTGTTCTTATATTTTAATTTTAGACCCTTCTCTGTAATTTTTTTTTTGTTGTTTTTAAACGAACACAAAAGTGCAAACAACATTTTAAAAGCAAAAGTGTCCTGGTTGTGTGCTGACACAGTTTTATTTAGCAGGAACTGTCACATAAGCCTCAGTTCTTGGTGTCTTGTTCAATGATATTGATCTTGGTGTTTAACACTGTTACAGTCAATCAGCATAAACTAAGATGAGAGGTACTTGACTATTTTTATAGTGTTCTCAAATATCAAGCAGCACTTGCTAAAAACTGTGCCTGACGTAGTTGTTTGTCACTTCTTTTAATCCCAACAGGAGGACCATGAAGGAATTGGGAATGTGATAGCTTTTTTTGTACCTTTTCTAGCCTGTGTTTTTCAGGTATGTTCACTGTAAATAAGATTCTTTCTGATTATTTTGATATTCTTATAAGACAGACTGATTTTCGGCTAAGCAGAGGTTTTTAATATCCTACCTGAATGATTCCAGTGGAACCACTGGAAATACAGTTAAATATGGCACAAATTTATGGCACAAAATTACAGCCAAAATGGCATAAATACAGTTAAAGGCACAATTTGACCCTTGGCAAATTGCAGTTGAGTGGGATAAATAAATACTCTCCCAAAGGTGATTCTTTCCCAAAGGGATGAATGTCTTTCTGTCAGTGCCAGACTTAGTGATGGGCTTTTGTAGCCCACCTCGAAGGGCTAAGCAAATCTTAGCAACATTATTAAAAATGTTTTAATTTACAAGAAAAATTACAATTAATTCTGGTGGCAAATGCAGTCCTTGACTTCCTCCGACTTTTCTTTTCCCTAAGGGGTTATTTTTGCTGACTTTCTTATGCAGAAGTGTTTGAGGAAAATACAATGTGCTCCAAATGGGTTTTTCTTGAGAAATTCCTTAAATTCCTAAAGCAGTGCTGCACCACCTTTAACTTAAGGGCAATATGTTGTTGGAAAATCTTCAATTTTTAGCCTGTCATCACAGGAAGCTGCAGCAGTTGGGTTACTGGGAATAACATAATGCCTGCAGCGTGTTCATTCCCATGTGCTGTAGCATTTGAATGATGGTTTGAGGACCACTCTCTGCAGGCTTCTATTTATTTATGGTGTTTAAAACTTGCAGAGGGGTTATTTATTGTATTATTCAGTGTCTTTCAGCCTTCTCACACCTCTGCTCAGGGCAGAGCTTTAAGGTGAATATATTAGTTTAGATCTAAAATTCTTGATGCAAGTGGCTTTTCACAAAGAAAGGCTCTGCCCTGCTTTTTTTCCCAGTCAGTACCTGGAGCCAGGGAAGCTCCATAAAGGAATGTTGCCTCTCATCCTTTTGATTTACAGCAGGCATCTTCCCAAAATGCCTGGGCACAAATTGCAGTGGTCTCTGCCTGTGGCACCAGCACAGTTGGAAACTGTGACCTGAAGTGAGAAAAGGCTGAGCTGCTCCTGCCTGAGTTAAAAAAAGGGACTCTTCTGTCAGCACTTGGAGCTTTTAGTTTGCTCCTAAAAGGGTTGTTGCTCTTCACACGTTCTCAGCAAGTGGGTTCCACCTGTCCCAAGCAGCAATTCCCGCTGTATCCCTGGATTTATGTGGTTCAACCCTGACACTGCCTCTCTGCTCCTTTTTGCAGTGTTACCTGTACCTCTTCTACAGCTCTGGGAGGAAGGTGAAGACATTTGTGCTCCTTTTCTGTGTCTGTTTTTGCAACATCCACCTCTATGGATTAAGGAACCTCTGGCAAATCGCCTTCCACATGGGAGTGGCATCCCTTTCCTCCTACCAGATCCTGACGAGGCAACTCCTGGAGAAACAGCCTGACTGTGGTGTATGAAAAAGCACTTGGGGTTTGCTACTCTTATTTTTTACAACTGGTTGGTTCTTCTTTTTGTATTCACCTGGCCAAAAAATAGCTCGGGGTATTTTTAAGAGACTTGTCACAATGGCTGTTGCAAAGGAGAGGGTAGTTCCAAGCAACTTGAAATAAGTAGGATGCTGGAATCATGTCCAACACCCAGTGAGTAAGGAGTGGAGCTGGGTTTAATGTGATGGTGCACGGGACATCTTGCCAGGTGGCATCAACAGATGGAGGTTCTTAACCATCAACAGGCTTTTTACACCTTGACTTACACCATCCACACAGCATTTTGCCATTTGTCTTTCTGGCTTTGTGACAGTTTGGCAGGTCAGTGTCTTGCCCTGCTTCTGAAAATGCCAAAACTGTGTGGCAAAATGAAGATCAAAGCGACGGGGAACGTTTTTGTCTCTGGAGTTTGTGGAGGGTTAAAGATTCTTGGTGAATGTTAGTGAAGGAGTTGTTTGCTGCAATTAGGTGAGTTCACAATCGGTGGGAAAAGTGGTCAGGGAGAGTTTCAGGGTGATTTGTCTGGGTTTTGAAGGGCAGGAAAAGGCTGTGGCTCTTTTAAAAACCATAAAGGCTATAAATATCTCCTGGCTAAACTGCACATTGTAGTTAAGTGTGTGCTCAGTGGTTAATTGCAACAGTGCTTGGGCAGCATAAAATAAACCAAGTGAGTGATCTCTCAGCTCAAGTGGCCTTTGTTTCCTTAGTTAAGGTCACTTTTAGTACAAGGGCAATTCCATGTTTGCTTGGTCTGTATGGATAAATAAATCTTCCAAGCCTGCTTGTGCCAGGCCATTGACTCCTTCACCTTTTATAAAAGAAATTATATGTGGCTGGTGAGTAAAAACCCATTTCCAGGGTTGGAAAGCAAGAGCAGGTTCTCTTCATTCTGTAGAACACCTTCAGTTAATGGTGTAGAGTTCTTACACTCAGATGAATTCCTGAGTGTACAGTTTGGAATATATGTAGGACTGCAGAGCTGGAATTCTTCGCCTCTGCTGCACTGGCTGTGCTGGGATGTCATATATCCAGGTGCAGCAGGGCATTTTAGAACATAGATGAATAATTTAGGGCTGTCTGTTAAAAAAAAATGCCCAGCATTTTGATGCAGCAGGGTTGTGGGGATTCCAGCTGAGATGTAGAGAACTGTAGGTGTGTTATTGTGGAGTTATGGTCCTAAAATTTCCTTTTATTTTTGTTCTTGAGAATTTTTATTTGTTTTTTTTTCTTTCTTTCTGGTCGCCCCGTTTCATTCACCAAAGATTTCTTTTCCTCTCACATCATCTCTACCTCTGGTTGCAAAGAGATTAATTAACGTGCAGCCAAGTTGTGGTTTTTTTGCAGAAACACTTAAAAAAATTACTTTCTTGTGTCTCAGTGAATTTTCCTGAAATCTCAGGACGCAAACACGAGTATCAGTGGAGGATCAGACCAGAAATTTGTGGTGCTGTACTTTGGAAGCACTTCTGGATGCAGCTGATTCCAACAACAGCAGGGATAGGCTGCCCATTACAGCCTGACCAGTTTCTAGGACATCAAGGGACTTAATTCCAGAGCTTTTTCCAGTAGGAAAATGTAGATATTTCTTTTTCATTGCACTTACTGTAACACTAACATCATAAAAGCCTCTAAATGTGAGGAATAGTCTGGTAGGAATGATGGAGGGATAGAATACAGCTGGAGCTGTGTGCCATGAGGGAATTCCCTTGTGTTATCAGGGAATGGATTAAAGTTGTTTGTCTGTCATTATCCCAGTTCTCTTTGAGTGGAAAAGTGAAGCCAGAACTCAACCACTGTCCTGAAGACACCCAGGTGACCCCACGGATGTGAGGAGTTATAATTTATATACTGCTATAATTTTTCATGCTGGTCAGTCCCAGTTTTCCTTGGGAAGGTTCTTTTGGAGACCTCATGGGAACTAAGCCACGAGTTTGGATCACAAGTTTAAAAAAAAGAGAAAAGCTGAAAAAAATAACACCCCAAAAATCTGATACTGGAAATGTAACACTTAAAAGGATACTGGATCTGATTGTATTTTCTAGGAGCATAAACTGGGTGTCAATCCACTGGGTTATCATGGGGAATCATCCTGTGGGGAAAGGATGGAGGATTTTATACTACAGACGGACAAAACTTTGGGCAAAGGACTTTAGTGACATGACCCAACTCCCTGCTCCTGCCTTTTTAGCCTAAATCTGGCTAAATAATCCAAAAGAGCTTTCCTGTTCCTTGGCTAAAGCCAGGCTGCTCCAGCTTAAGGCACACAGAGCATTCACAGCTGGGGCATTCCTCATCCTTGGACTAAGCTGGCTGGAAGAAGCTGTAACATTCCCAATGCTTCCCAAGCATCCAGCTGTTTGCTGTGTCACAAAACAAATCCCTGTGCCAGGTGATGTGACCCACAGTGGTACAACAAGGTGTCTGGTTGATTTATGCAATTAACATAAAGTGGATAAAGGTTAAATTCAGCTTTCGTTTAATTTTTTTTTTCCTTAAAATGTTTCAGTAAAATCAACCCAAACCCGTTGGTTCAGTTCTGCCTTTGCCTAAACTGATATTTTTTTGCTTTGTGGATTAATTGGAGGATGTGACTGGATCTTTGTAATCTTTAGATCTTTCCTACTCAGTGACCAAAGCTCTCCTTTGCTGTGAGTCTTAATCCCTTTGCAACCTTTTTTTTTCCCCTCTCTGTAATATGTGTAAACCATATTAAGGAATCTCCATGGATTAGTCTGTGTGCACTAACACTGTGCACTTTGTAGCTTTGGATTGGGATTCCAGGATGAGGCAGAGCCCTCGTAGTTGGCCCTATTTTTATTTTTAATGTTGGTATTTAGAGTGGCTCCCACATCCACGTGGTATTTATACAGATAAACATCTTCTCCTGGTGGAGCAGCAAGAGGAATAGAACAGTTTACATGGATCTCAGTGCTTTAAGATTTAATAAAAAGGAATGACTTGCAGTTTGAGTACATGAGATCTGACTCACAACGTGGGATTATTCCTGTATTGAATCAAATCCCCGGGGAGGAATCCATCCCTTTTTGTTCCACTTTAAACTGTTTAATGTAGTTTGAATTGCATCTCCTTAATTCTGTCAGTTTGCAAGATAAGTCTGCTGGAAACTCTTTTCCTCACCCAGCAGCTCAGCACAAGAAAATTGGCAAAGAATAAACTCCAATAATTTCCAGATTTTCAGTGCTTAGTCACTTTATGAAGCTGATCATTTTCTGTGGTTTTTTTTTTTCCTCCTTTCTCCCAAAAACCTGTTGAGTTTGTAGAAGGTGGGCTGGTACCTTTTTAGACATTTTTGCACTGTATTAATAATTGAACCTGTGTAAATGTGTATAAAATCATTTTGCATGTATATATGTACATATATCTAATAAATGGCTTTTTTTCTAATGGTTGTCTTCATTTAGAGTTTTGAATGAACCGATTCTATCAAAAACAAGTTGATCAGCTTTTCATTTTTGGAGGCACCTTTACTGTTCTGTGTGGCATCAGTTGAACTACATAAATACATTTACAGAAACTTTGTTATCCAAGCAAGAGATTGCAGCAGGCTGTGATATAATATTTTTATAGCTTTAACAATCTTGCTCTTTAATTTCAGAGTCTGTTACAGGGGCTTTTCCTGCAAAACTTGTATTTTGAATTGTTGAAGTGTGTGAAATAAGATATAACACAGTCCCATAGGTCCTTTTCCAACTTCCTGGAAGTGAGTTATTGGGATGTGGCAGTTTGCTGTTGGAATTTTAGCCTGGTCTCTGCATGGAAATAGGCCAGTCTGTCCCTGCTCAGAGCTCGTGGGCTTTTTTTTTGGCCATTTTCAGCCACCTTTCAGCCCTGAAGACACCAATCCATGTGACAGAAAATCCAGCTTTCCCACCACTGGGATGTTGTGGGTTCAGGTGTGCTTTGGGAAGGGTGCTTTGTGGGACAGGACTCAGAGGACCCTGCTGGATCAGGAACCAGAATAATCAGAATGAGGTAAAAATCAAAGAGCTGGAAGAAATCAGGCTCGTGGAATTAGTGGATTTGTCCCATTTTTCCGCTCCCTGGTTCACCACGGGAATGACACCTTCAAAGTAAAAGAGAGTGGGTTTAGATCAGATGTCAGGACGAAATTCTTCCTTGTGAGGGTGGGGAGGCCCTGGCACAGGTTGCCCAGAGAAGCTGTGGCTGCCCCATCCCTGGAAGTGTCCAAGGCCAGGTTGGATGGGGCTTGGAGTAACCTGGGCTAGTGGAAGGTGTCCCTGCCCATGGCAGGGGGTGGAACTGGATGATCTTTGAGGTCCCTTCCAACCCAAACCATTCTGGGATTCTGGGATCTGTAGCAAAAGCAAAACATGATGCTCAGAGAGAGGGAGAAGCCCCTGGAATGGGGGGAGAGGTAACAGGGGAGGGAGGAGGGAGCCTCGTTCTTCAGGACTGCTTTGCCCTTTGAAATCGAGGTGTTATTTTTGTTCTGTAAATAAATGATTGCTCAAAGCGTGTTTCTTCTCCAGCTGCCAATAGAGAAGAACAGCAGCCTCTCCCTTTTCTTCTAAGGTGAGGGGAGGAAGCAATTATAACTCCCTTTCTCTTTTGAAGATGCTGATAAAAGGAGGTGGGAGGATCAGGGGGGGCCCTGTGCCGAAAGAGAAACAACTCCTCAGGTGATAGAAGTACATGTTTTTATTTTGAGCAAAGTAACTCCGCTTCTGCTGTGTGCTGGCTTTCAGATGTGACCCAGTTGCATGTAAAAACTGTTCTGCTGGAGAGGGGAAGGAAACCTTGGCCACAAAAACAGGGCCAGGCAGGAGGTGGGGGCGTCACTCTAAAGAGGGATTTGCTTTAAAAACCATTGACCACTTCGCCTCAGTGGTGAGGTGCCTCTGCTGAGGATGGAGCTTGGAGGGCTCAGAGGCTTCATTCCACCCCTTTTGGCTTTCACAGGCACCTCCTGCTCGCCTGCAAATAAATTCTCTCCCCAAGGTTTGACCTTTTGGAGAGGGTTTTGGAGAGCAGCAGCGTCGCACCAGCAGGAGATGAAGGTGTGTTTGCGCTCCCCGGGGCAGGTGTGGAAATGAATCCTCTTCGCCTCAGCCTTTCTTTTCAATAAGGGCTTAACAAAGTGGTATTTTTAAATTGCACCATTTGCTGGGCACTGTAAAGTGTTCTGGCAGAAATGAGGGCCTTGGAGCGGGAGGGAGCAGCACCTGCTGTGTTTTGCCATGCTGCAAATGTAATATCAGGGCCCCAGAGTAAAATTAACCCCCCTGTGAGGAAAGTTAACTCTACCCCAGCCAAAACCAGCACACCCCGTGTTCATCAGGGCCTTCTGGGAGGGCTGTTCATGGAGAGGAGCTGTTAAACTCTGGGATTGGATATATATTTTTATATATATACGTATTTTTTAATATATATATTTGTATATTTTTATATAGATATATTTTTAATACATATATTTATATATTTTTATATAGATATATTTTTAAATACATATATTTATATATTTTTATATAGATATATTTTAAAATATAGATATTTATATATTTATATAGATATATTTTAAAATATATGTATTTTTATATATTTATATATATTTAAAAACATAGATATTTATACATTTATATATATATATTTTAATATATATTTTTATATACAATGACTCACCAAGTCACTGGCACAGGTTGCCCAGAGAAGCTGTGGCTGCCCCATCCCTGGAAGTGTCCAAGGCCAGGTTGGAGCAACTGGCCTAGTGGAAGGTGTCCCTGGCCATGGCAGGGGTGTGGAATGAGATGATCTTTAAGGTCCCTTCCAACCCAAACCATTCTGATTCCCTTGATCCGTTTTTTCTAGCCCTAGGAAGGCTGATCCAGGCTGCTTGGAAGAACTGTTTTAAAAGGAATTAAATGGCAACACAAAACAAAGAGCCCTAAAAAGTCTTTGCTTTCTGTTCCCATTTAAAGTACAAAATAAGCAAAATGCAGAAGGCCTTAAAATTCCCTTTGGTGGAATAAATGTCATTTGATATGAGCACGGTAAGAAAGAGTTGAAATTGTGACCATTAAAACGTAAAGCGCCACTCAGTCCAGTAGGGAGGGTTGGCATTTATTGTTTCATTGTGCAAAGGAGGACATTCACATCCCAAATCCCTTGTTTCGTGGGCTCTTGTAGGGAAATACTAAAGAGCAACTGGGTGGGAAGTTCAGCCCCGAATTCCATCAGTGCCCATTGGAATGCACGGGGCAAAACAAACATGAGGCCTCCTCCTGGGAGGTGCCACCTCCTCCTGCTGTGGTGGCCTTGGGTGAGAGCAAAGGGCACAGACCTGGCAGGATTGACCCCAAAATACTCATATTTACCTGCTGGGTGAGGCAAAAAACCCCCCATCAAGCTGCACTGAAGGTGCTGAATAAACCTGTGCAGGTCACATCAGGCTTTCAGGAGCAGAGCCCCCTGTGTTTGAGGGGGTCCAGGGTGCCCTAAATTACATGCTTGGAAGATGTGACAGCACAACCACAGCTGCTGAGTGTGGCTCTGGGTGGCAGGGATTGCAGTGATGATCCCTCATCCCGGGATTTGCTGTTTCCCTGCGTTAGGAATGACCTGAATGTGTGTACAGGGATCACCTTCCCCAGGTAACAAGTGACAGGAGGAGAGGAAATGGCCTCGAGTTGCACCAGGTTCCCCCTCAGCCAGGGGTTAAGATTAGATTTTAGGCACAATTTCTTTTACTGAAAGGGTGGTCAGGCACTGGGACAGGCTGCCCAGGGAAGCAGGGGAGTCACAATCCCTGGAAGTGCTCAAAAAACACGTGGATGTGGCACTTATGGGGAGGTGTTGCTGAGTTGACAGTTGGACTCGAAGATCTTAAAGGTCTTTTCCAACCCCAACAATTCCATGATTCTGTGGCATCAGGCATCCCTGCATGACAAGGCAGAAGTGGGGCAGGTCTGCTCTGAGCATCCCCAGGGACTGGGACATCCTTCCAGAAGATGGATCCTCTTCCAGGGTCCCTGGACACAGGTCTCATTTAGGGCTAGAGAGACATTCAGGTGACACAGAGCAGGAACTCTGATGTCTGAGGCATCTCAGAGCTGGCAGTGTGGTCAGGCTGGGCTGCTGGTTTGGGCTCAGAAGCCAAAATTCCCGTGGTGTATCATGGAATCATTAGGGTTGGAAAAGCCCTCCAAGATCACCAAATCCAACCATTAACCCAGCAACTGCCAGGTCCACAGCTAAACCATGTCCCCAAGTGCCACATCTACACGTTTTTTGGACACTTCCAGGGGCAGTGTCCCATGTTGGTCCTTCTGCTGTGTCTTGCCCATGTGTACCAAAGTCACAATGTCATTTTGCTCCTCTTTGAAGCTTCTTCCTGCCTTGTCCTGCAGCTGCTGGGGCTGGAGGGGGCAGGTGAGAAGCAGCAGCACTTGGCGCTCTCAAGGTCAATACACTGAACCAAGCAGGGGGAAAACCTTGCTCCCAACATTCCCAGGACTCAGGTGTCCCAGGATTTCCTGATTCCCCTCCAAGCATGAGGTACATAACACTTCCCTGGAGGTGTTCAAGGCTGGCTTGGACAGGGCTTGGAGCAACCAGGGATAGTGGAAGGTGTCCCTGCCCACGGCAGGGGTTGGAACTGGATGATCTTTAAGGTCCCTCCCAACTCAAACCATTCTGTGATTCTGTGATATCAAGGAGTACTTGGATTTAAAATAAAAAAATTTGATATCAAGGATTATTTTGGTTTGAAACAACGAATTTGAAACAGTCTCTTCAGCGTTACTTCTCGAGCTTCCTGCTTCTCCCTTTTCCAGGCACTGGGAGGCACCAGTGCACAAGCTAATGCTGTTCCCAGGCTGGGAGGGAAGCCAAGCAGCTGACTCAGCTACAGTTTTCCCGGTAGGTTTTGCCACAGGACTCCTGAAACAGAGATAAAACACCCTGGAGACTGTAGAAGGATCCCTTCAGGGCTGCAAATCCACTTACCCAGCGAGGCTGGAACCGATTTGTCAGGAGCAAAGTCACTGCAGCTCCTTTTTTTTTTTTTTTTTTTTTGTCTCCTCTTGTCTTTAAGGAACAAAGGATTGTTCTTTGTGCTAAATGTTGGTGCTCCTGGTCTAAGCTTTGTTCTCAGCCTGAGGGATTCAGGAAGGGACTGGAGGGTTCTGAGAGGAGAAACCAGCAGCTTAATTAGCAAGCAGACTGGAGGCTCCCATGCACACATTGCTGGCCCTTAATCCATCTGCAGTAACTGCTTGGAAAGTTAAGTCATGGAGAGGGATTTGAGGCAAAGCCTTGTTTCCAAAACTCTGCTGATAAATGGGTTGAGGGATGATGCTGCCCTTTACTGCCCAGAGGAGTGGGAGGATGGGAGTAGAGGACATTGTAGGGTCACTCCCAGGCAGGAC